AAGCTGTTGGAAATAGAGGAACCAGCCCTTGCTTCCCAGCATTGTGATCTCTCTCTGAGCCTGTCACTTCTTTCTTTATAATGTCTTTCTCTGAAGTATAACCCTACCCTAGCGACTAGAATTATATGATAGCCCTTCTCTTCTCCCTATGGATACCTATACTTCCCACTTTTCTGGTGCTGCTGTGAATGAATGACCACAGTATTTTTCACACCTAAAGAAAGGAGTTTAGTGTATTTTGTTCTAAGCCTTACTGTTAACTTTGAAACTAAAAAGAGTTCCACAGAGAGTTTACCACAGCTAAGTACAATGGCTTTTAGATTAGGAGTTAAAAATGAATCTAAGTATCTGTTAGGTCCTATATGCTGGACTTGTGCTAGCATATTGTCTCACAATCTCTGAAAAACACCTATGAATTAGTATTTATATCTCATTTTGTAGATAAGAAAACATTCTTGAGACAGCCTAAGGATCAGAGCATTTGAGCTGGCCATCAGTGACTCCATAGCTCATGGTGCTAAACACCAGGTAGGTGCTAGACAGTTCAGTAGCAGCAGAACATACCCTTTTGCATATTGACTGTTTAAATAGCAAACAAGCAATGGGGTGAAGGTAATGAAGTCATAGGGGATATCCTAAGAGAGGAATGTCAAGACGTAAATGGAAATGAGGTAGTCTAAAGTGCTATCAAATTTTGAGTTTGAACTGGAGAGTCAAATGTCTGGTGATGGAGACATTAACTCACAGGTCAATGAGATGATATATGGAAAGCCCGCTAATGAACTATAAAAGACTAAACCAATGTATGGTATGGTCCTCCCAGAGCTGTTTGATTTAATGGCATTATACACGTTTATTTTCTTTTAAGTTTGTATAACTTCGCAACTATCTTTCTAAGGAGCTATTTTCCCCTACAACCCCTAAAACACAGAAGATGCCCTTAAAGTTACTGGCTTGCAGAAACTTAAATACTTAGATTCTAGAAGTTCAGATTTCTAATGTAGCAACGTCAAAAACAAGTCGCAAAGAATATGGAGTCTTTTCCATTTTTTTAACAATGGGATTTTGGTTAAATAAAACCTTTGCAAACATGTTGCCAACTGGAACCAACAACAGTGTAAAGAAAATCTTTTTCTCAGGCGTTTTTTAGGTCTGCCGCTAACCACTTTACTCGTGTTTCATCCTTAAAATAGCGCTGAACCAGTTGTCCCAGATCGTTTTACAGATCGTTGTTTGATCTGTAGGATTTGATACAAAACAGTCTCCCTGTAATATTAAGCTACACCTTACCACAAACCCTCCTATCAACGCTTCCTGGAGCTTTGTTGTGTTCACACCTTTCAGAGGTTTGTACATAATTTTCTTACCTGTAGTGGACGGTTTTTTCCAAGACGCTGCCCAGACACCCGATCTCCTTGTACTATTTAATTTCTTTTATTCCCTTGTCTCGGATCCATCCCGGGACGGAGAGGAAAGACAGGTGCCTGAGAGCAGCAATGATCAGACATCCCCCTCAGCGGGGAAAATATAAGGATGCGGAGGGGACCGACCACTCCTAATGTCCGAGGTGCGGCTGCTACTACATGATGAGGATGCGAAACACAAGCCTCGGGGAGAAACTTCCCCAAACCCCGCCCGCCTCGCTGCAGGCCACGCCCCGGTACGTGCTCGGCCGCAGCACAGCAGCCCTGAAGCCCGCCCTCCTGCCGAGGCCCGGGCCGCTCCGTGGGGCGGGTGCTCCCCGCGCCCGCCTACGTGTGAGATCTCATGTGGGAGGCTCGGCCCCTCCCGGCCTTCTGTGGGGCGCGGTGGGTGCGGGAGGGGTCAGCGCTGCTCGTTATCTTAGGTAACTTGTCCGCTTCTGATGCCTGGCCCTTTCTCACATTTTTGGGGGAGACAGGATGGTTGGGAGGTTCAGGGAACAAGACTCTGTGTCGCTGCAAAACTGCGCAATTCCCAAATGTTTTGGGGTGTTAAACTGTGTGGAATAGAAAAATATCTGAGGTCTCTAACAGGTGGGGGACCTTGGTTAACTATATAAAAAGGTTCTAAAATATTAATCATCTACTAATCTGGTCAAAAATAGAGGGCTCTTCCAGTTATTTAACTATAATCCCCATAAGTCACTCAAAGACTTAGTTCATTTTAAATAAAACACTTTGAGATATCCTTGATTGTGTGAATTGAAACTTTAGTTGCTCTAGGTGTTTTTGTTGTTGTTCGTTTTGTTTTTGTTTTGCTTTTTGCTTGTCGTGTTTTTTGAATACTGTGTGCGAGCACACTACCAAGGCCAGATACTGAGAATCCTTTGGAAGAAGATAATTCTTGTTGGACAGAAGGGAGGTGAGTTTAGGGAATGTGGGAAAGCTTGGGGCATTAAATTTAATCTGTAATTTGTATGTTTACGTTAATCAGTTTGTAGTAAAGTACAAAGAAAAGTATTGTTTAAAATAAATAACCTCATCTGTGCATATTCAGGGTTGTCAACATTTTACATTTTATTTTAAATTGTTTCCTACAGGATGATTCATTGTTTATGGCTTTGCAAACAATATTCAAGAAAGTTAAGAGTCCATTTTTAAAAAGTGGTGAAGGTGTTTTAAATATTTTTTACTAATAAAAACATCTGTAGCCTCAGTCATCTGTATGTTTGTGTTTAATTAGAGAGGTGCTATTTAAAGAGAGTGCTCAAGTCTTTTGGTCTTATGGATGCTTAATAATCATAAACGGTGAGTCTCCACAGAGAGCAGGCTGAGGGTTGAAGTGGCTGCCTGTAATGTTTATCACCAAGAGCAATGCATTTTAAAAAGTTGAGAAATATATAATTAGCCTCACAAGTAGACTAGGACTCTGTTAAGTCAGATCTATTTTTTAGAGATCTTTGAAACATTAAAACATTAAGAAACACTATATACAGATCCTTTTCAATATTTATAGTTTTGGCTCTTTGAAACATTGTTTTTAATGTCCTACAATTGTTTTAATGTTCATATACAACTATTATGACAGACAAAGTCTTTAATGGGAGCACTGAACAGCTGTGGGGTAAGCCATCATAAGCTGTGTCCTGATTTCGCAGTCTGCTGGTAGAATACTGAAAGCAAAACCAAAGTGAAGTATTAACACTACAAATCAGAGGGGCGAGCGCAGCCTGGGTAGCCTGCAGATTTAACTGCAAATATTTGCCACCCCTGTGAACTTCCATGCCACTACACCTAAGCTTTCTTACTTTACTTCTTGTGTGTGTGGTTTTAATCTTCCTTGATCATTTATGCATGCCTCATCTCCCCTACAGAAGTCCTTAGTTCCTTTGGAGCATGATTCCACCTGGTTGATAACTTCCACTCTGTTTGCACAAAGACAACTCACATATGACTAAAGGTGGGAGAGGATCTCCTGTGACGAGGGGACCAGAAAAGAATTATGGTCAGAGAAACAGAATGGGGAAAACAGGACTATTTTCTAGTGCTAGCAGTGAAATCCATTCATTTGGTGAACCCTCAGTTGTTGAGGGTTGAGTTGGGTCCAATGTGTTTGCTATGTTCTGACTGTTTGTTTCCTCTCAAATTTGTATTCCTCTCAAATTCCTTTTCATGAATTGTTTCTAGCTCGATAATCTGAATCCAGACTATACTGCCGCCCTATAGGAACCTCAGATTCGGCCTCTGAAAAACTGTGTTCCAGATGGTTCATCATAGGTTCTCCGAATAGCTCCCTTCCTGTGTTCCCTGCCCAGTGAATGGCACCACACAGTCTCCCAAACCTGAACCCTAGAGGTCATTTGTCACTTACAACCTTATCCACCATATCCGGTCTGATTGAGTTCTTTTCTTTCCTTAAATTTTCACTATGGAAACTTTGAACATGTACAAAAGTAAAGAGAATAGTATAGTATAATAGCATAAGGGTACCAGCTGCCACTGGGCTCCCTAGGAAGTGGACTCTGAGATGGACACCGCAGGTCACGTATTAGGGAGTGCTTTAAGGAACAGCACGAGGAAGTGAAAAGGCAGAAGTGGGCAGAGGAAGCACCTGAGTTGAGAGGCAGTCCCAGCAAAGATCTTCAGCGGCCATATGGGGAGCTCTGACCCTGGGCTAGTCCTTGAGAGTTGTCCCGAGTCACAGCGAGGGCTGGAGCCTTTGCACCCCTATACTGATCAGTCATCGGATGGGGGAGTTCTGTCTTTAAATCCATCTCCAGGAAAATGGCAGTAATAGGAGCTCCATGGACTGGCTCCCCAGTGAAACTACACCTGGTGAGAGTTTTTTAAAAATACTATTTAAAGTTTCTTGAAATTGTCTGAAGAGAATACAGCAGATGAAGAAAATTTTATTCAAGAAGATAAACTAAGTCTAGGTAAGAACATCAAGAGTGACACTTGAGCCAGGATCTGCTGCCTCCCCCACCCTGCTCAGCATGAGCAAAGCTCAACTCCAGAAGGGGCTCCCTCCTCTGCTAGATCCCAGCTATGTCATCTCTAAGAGAGCCAGGCTGCTACCTCATCCTCTTTAGGTTCATGTTGCAAAGGCTAAATTCCAGGTAAGTATGGCCTAGAGATGGGGGAGACTGAGAACCCTTTTCCATTCAGACACCATCCATAGGACAGAGTCTCTATCCCAGGTGCAGCAGTCCAAAAGTGCTGCGTTCCCATCGCTTTCAGCCCAGCTCACATGTAAACTGGGGAGTTCCATGAGAACAGAAGCAGCCGGAGAAGAATAGAAACTACTGCCCCCTCCCAGAGCCCTGCTCCTGAAGCAGAGGTATCTTTCTGAGAGAAGGGGGCCACTGTCCCCATCCTCAGCTCCAATAGCAGTGGCTCAGAGATTTTGCCCAGGGGGAGAGAAAGTCCATTAGAACAGAGAACTCAGAAGCTCTCACAAAAGAAAGGGCTTTATTTGGAAGAATGTGAGAAAATTCGAACCCAAAGGTGCTCTTGAAAACAAGGGATATTTTGGTGGTAAATAATTAAGAGAAGGCTGGTAGCTCCATGGCAGCAACAAGTTAAACTGCAGGGCAACTGGTTTACCAGAGAAAGCCAGAGAAAGCAACAACTAAGAGAGCCCAGGGATCACTACAACCACAAAGGCTACCTCTAAAGGAGCCTAAATGAGATTGGATTACACTCTGGAGCAATTCGAGTCCTCAGAGCACTCCAAAACAATGGAGCAAACAATAGGCAATTAGTGGAGCCCAATAGCTGGGTGTGATACCAACAGAGTCAGGCTCTTACAGAGAGATCTGGAAAAGAGATAGCCAAAGAAAGCCTTGCTAAAACCACCATGATCCCAGGCAACTGTGTGCATAGCCAGGGCTGTACCCTCTGAAGAGCTACTTACGAGGCTGCACCTCCTGAGGGAAATGGACTTCACTAAAACAGTCCAGTCAGGTCAGTAAACAAATAAATAAGGAAACCACAAAAACAGCAAGCCCCACCGGAAAGGGGGAGCAATCGGTATTCAGAATTGATACGATAAGTTATATATACTGACAGTAATGTAAGTATTTTGGCATTTTAACAACAGGTACAGAGTCATACAATTGTATGTTGGCTTCAGTTAGCCCTGCACACTTAGTATGTGATGGAAGTGACCTTTTAGATCATTAGGGAAAGGATGGACTTTTCAGTTAGAGGTGCTAGGAAATAACACTTATGGAAAATACATATATATGCTTACATATATGCAAAAAAATGAAATTGGATCCTTAACCCATACCATACATAGAAATAATTTTTAGATGGATACGGTGAATTAAGTGAAAGGCAATACTTTAAGACTTTTGAAATAAAATTGTGGCAGCAATGTGGGCAGTTCAACAAAGATGAAGTACCTCTTCCATAGACTGGAGTTGTGGGGAAGAGTTTGCCCAGTTAGGGACAACATTTCTCAGGTCTCTTTGCCTCTGGGTGGGCCCATGTGACTAACTTTTGGCCAAAGGGACGTGGACTGAAATGGTGTACACCAGTGCTTCTCAAACTATCTGTGGTAATGGACATTTTTTCTCCAATGGTGGACCAATGCTTTTGTAAATGAAAATAGAAATAAATTACCAGAAAATAGATATTTAAAAAGTCATATCATATACAGTCCTGCTTTTTATTATCAGATTTAACAGACATAAAATTACTTTGCCAGACTGCTAGTAAAAGTTTGTAAATACTTATTCTTAATTTCTGTACTCTGGAGAGATGAGGAGGTAATAGTTTGTAGACCAGCAGAGGTGAGCAGACCACCTTTGAGGGTATATGACTTCCAGGTGTGGCCCATAAAGTGTATCATGCAGTCTTTAACATCTTCTTTCCAACCCTGTCTACAGACTAGATGTCAGTGATCAGGGTGCTCTTGAAAACCAATGGCTCAGGATGGCAGAGGCTTCATCAGTCTGGGTCCCTGGATGACTTCTTGGTGCAGAACTCTTCCCACCCCAACTTGCCCTTAATTGAACTTAATGTGAAAGAAAACGAAATTTCCTTTATGTTAAGCCACTTAGCAATTAAGGTCTATTAAGTTACACTATTGGTATTCCCTATAATGAAATATAGAGAACATATTTATCGACAAAAGTCCTTAATTGGAAAAGATTTAAAAACTGACTACAGTAAACATACAAAAGAAAGATATTTATAATAAATATAACACACAAGTTTAATATTCAGAATATATAAGGTGATCCTACAGATCGATATGAAAAAAGGCAAACAACCCAATTGAAAAATGGACAAAATATATGAATAAACATTTCACAATAGAGGGAACAGAAAAAAACAGAATTTAAGAAGATGCACAATCACATTAATAATCACAGAAATGCATGTTAACATCACAATTAGGTATCAAGTTTCTGAGATGATACGGCAGAATTTGGAACTGCCATACATGGATATTGAAATGAAAAGTTCAACTACTCTAGAAAAACAATTTGACATTATCTCTTAAAGATTTACAGTTGCACCCATTATCGTCCAACAATTCTACCTATATATATGTATGTTTGCTGTAATGTTTGCCAAACAAAAATATTTGGCAAACAAAAAGGGCATCCTTTAAAATACAGTTAAACTGTACTTAAGATAAACAAGGAATAACTTTTAAATATTTATTTATTTTTGAGAAAGAGAGAGCACAAATGTGATAGGAGCAGAGAGAGAGAGAGAGAGACAGAGACAGAATCTGAAGCCGGTTCCAGGCTCCGAGCTGTCAGCCCAGAGCCTGACAAGGGGCTTGAACTCACAAACTGTGAGATCATGACCTGAACTGAGGTTGAATGCAAAAGAATGAGAAGCAAAACAGGGCAGTTGTTATCGAGGTAGTGGTAGAAGCAGAGGAATAGGTTAGAGAAGGGGTTCACAGATTAATGTGACAGACTCTGGAATGTTTCTACTCCTATACAGGTAGAAGATACACAAATGTTCTTCATTGCTATGCTTCTTATCTAAGGTTTTCTGTATACATAAATATTACATAAAATTTTTTTTAAAAAGATCAATGATTAGGAAAGTTAAGTGAGTTGAACCTCTATCTACAGAAAGATCATCCAATGATTTCCATTATATTGGGATTCCACTTCTAAAGAATAAAAATAGCATGCCCTGCAATCTGAAAATGGCGAGAAGTACAACGTACAACTCCATATCTAGCTCTAGGGAGAAGCGAAGAGGTGGAGGGTACACAGAGTGCCAATTAAGTCAAATAATTGATAAACATAAATACTTTCTGCTAAGTGCTATGCCCGATTTTTATGAACATGGGGTGTGAGCGGCGGTGGGGAGACGTTCACAAGTTTCTCAATTTGTAGTTGCAGAAGACTGCTATGGTTACAATGAGAGACACACATTTAAACACTCTATTATGTGGTTGTAGACTAGGAGAGAATTAGTGCAGTTCACTTCCTAGTAAGACGTCTTCTTTAGATCCTGGTTCCGCCAGGAACAGGGTGGAAGGTGGGAGCTGTTCTTGCGTAGCTATAAAAGTCGACTTCTGTTACTCCAGGGTGACTTTAATGTTTATTTATTTTTGAGATAGAGACAGAGTGCGAGCTGGAAAGGGGCAGAGAGAGAGAGAAGGAGACACAAAATCCTAAGCAGGCTCCAGGCTCTGAGCTGTCAGGAGAGAGCCTGATGAGGGGCTCGAACTCACCCCCGAGATCGTGACCTGAGCCCAAGTCAGGTGCTTAACTGAGCCACCAGGTGCCCTCAGGGTCGCTTTAAAGGAAAGTAAGGATAAAGCCAATTTACGTAAGCTAGCCTAATGCAGACCTAAAATCCTTCCTGGGCTCACACGACGCCTGACAGAGAAACTTCTTCAATGAAATCGAGAGAACTGACCTTAGCCTTCTGTCTTTAAGCAGATCAGAGCAAGTACGGGCACACGTCCACGCATGCGCAATAAGCAACACCACAATTCGCCGAGTCCGGCTGGAGGCGGAGCTAAAGGGGCCGGCTAAGGCGACACGGAGCGCATGTGCGCCAAGCGTATGGGGCGGGACGTCCGGCTTCGGTTTCCTCGGCGACAGCAATCGGCTGGGTGTCGCGTGGTCTGCGGGGCTTTGCCGGCATGGGGACTCCTGCAGGCCTGCAGACGGACTGCGAGGCGCTGCTCAGCCGCTTCCAGGAGACCGATAGCGTGCGCTTCGAGGACTTCACGGAGCTCTGGAGGAGCATGAAGTTCGGGACCATCTTCTGGTGGGTGTTTCTAGTCCGCTACCCTCACATCTCTCCCTGCTCAGAGGCGGATAGGAAGCTGCTTTCCTCCCCAAAGCACTGCCGCTCCTGGGAAGGGCCGAGAAAGGCTGCAGCCTCTGCACGCTGCCCCCAGCTCTCCCGGGTCTTCTTCCTGGGCAGTTTCATTGGCTTCGGCCGCGTCCTTTTGCGGCCTCCTGCCGAATATGTATTTCTGCCCGGCCGCCCTTCCCCGCCGTCTTCTCCATCTCCTCTGCCTCACCCTGGCCCAGGTCACCCATCATTTATCCTCCAGCCTCGTTCTTCTAAAACCCCATGCTTAAAAACAAAACAAACACCCAAGCAAAGACAAAACCCTGCACGACTGAATTCGTTTTTCATACAAAGTTGGCTTTCTAAAGTGCCGGCCTGATCCTGTCACGCCCCTGCTTACCACTCCAGTGGTTTGCACTGCCCCTAGGATAAAGCTCGCGTCCCCTAATCTGCCTGCCAAGACCGTCCCCGACTGGCCTCAGTCCGTCTCTGCATCTTCATCTGCCGTTGCCTTCCGGGCACTCACTGCCTTGCTCCAGGCCGCCTGGGGCCCTCTTCAGGCTTTACTTGGCCTGGAGCTTACCCCCTGCTTTCCTCTGCCACACCGCCTTTTTCTTCACTCAGATTTAACCTCAAATGGATTTTTACAGGGAAGCCTTCCTTTGCCCATCAGGAGTGAGGCGTTCATACTCGGTTTTCCCTAGAGCATTCTGCTTCTTTTATCTTTCGACTTAGTACAGGTTATTTTAAGCGTGTAGTTCGAAAGGTGGTATAGTATAGTGGTTAAGAGCAAGCAGATTACTGAGCTGAACTGCCTGAATTTGAATCACAGGCCAAAGAGCAACTCTGACGTTGGGCAAATTACTTGCCTGAACTTTCCATATCCATAGAATGGAGACGGTAATACTGCATATTGTAGTCATGAATGTTAAATGAGCTACTGTGTGTTAAGTGCACTCTTAATTGCCCTGTAAATACTCATTTCTATTATTAATATTACTTTAAAGTATTCCTTCCACTAGATACAACTCAGTGAGGACAGTGACTGGATGAATTTGATATTCATTAGCATAACACATACAATATTGAAAAAGCCAAATGATTGGCTGAATGAATTCTTATGATTAGGACCCGGTGTTTTCCTGAATAAGAAGTAAAACTTCTCTTTGTTTCAGTATAAAAATTACCTGTGTAGTTTGTACATTGCGGGGGATAGATGATAGAGAGCTATTTTTTAACGAAAGGAACTAATTTTCTTAATGGCTACTAAATGTAATAGATTTATAGTTTAACATATTTAATCCGTAGAACAACTTTGAAAAGCAGGTACATAATTATCCTTGTTTTATAGAAGGGGAAATTGAGACTTAAGGAGGTTAAGTAATCCCCATGATCATACAGCTATTAGGTGGTGAGGCAGATACTGAAACCTGTGTCTGCCTGTATCCCAAACCCATGGTCTTTCAGTGCATCCCCGCCCGCAAAGTGGTAGTTAAGGAAGATATTGCTGGGGTTACTTCTACAGTTAGCTAATAAGGAAAAAGTGAAATGAGAAAAACAGTAGAGACAACTTGAGTAGGGGTCGTGCTTCATTAGCAGTTGTTTTGGTTGCTAATACCACAGTAAGTATTTTCCATTCTTTTAGTATGTTTATTAAAGAGCCTGGGTTTTGAGAGTATAGTGGAGTCTGCTTTTCTACCCTGAGCCTTTACTTTGGACAGCTTTACCCTGCAGAACTGGGAGGAGGGCGTGGGATATATTGTATTGTGGTTCTTTAAACTTTTTCACCTAGGTGTCTCAAGGACAAATGAGGTGTGGTGTGAACCCCTGAGGGTATTGGGGAAAATCTCCATGATATATTAAAATGCATGTAATTTTTGTATTTTATTCTATAATTTAACCATGGTTACTTTTTTTTCCCCCCATGGTTACTTTCTAAAAATGTTTTAAATTCTCAACCAGGAGTAATTTGTAGCCCTTCCCCCTATGCTCACCTACTTAGCAAGTAAAGTTGATGCCTTAGGAAGATGCATCATGTTTACCTAGTGCATGCCTGTTCCTCAGTGTACGAAGTACAGCAGAAAAGTAGATTTTGTGCTTGAATTGTGAAAGGATCAGGTGTGGAATGCCCATCCAATCTCTAGTAGCTGCTAGAATATACCTCTTCTAATTTTATTCATTTCTTGTTACTTAGAGTCATAATATATTTTCTCTTTGTTTTCTAGTGGCAGAATGAGAAATTTAGAAAAGAACATGTTTACAAAAGAAGCATTAGCTTTGGCTTGGCAATATTTTTTACCTCCCTACACCTTCCAGATCAGAGTTGGTGCTTTGTATCTGCTGTATGGATTATATAACACCCAACTGTGTCAACCAAAACAAAAGGTAATACATGTTTTCCTTCAGCAGAAATTGGAAACAGGTACAATAGTTTTACAACAAATGGATTTAAATAGAAATGCCAGTGTTGCAAAATTATAACACATTAGTGAAAAAAGATTTACCTTTAGTAACTTTTTAACTCTCTTGTTTGCAGATTAGAGTTGCCCTGAAGGATTGGGATGAAGTTTTAAAATTTCAGCAAGATTTGATAAATGCACAACATTTTGATGCAGCTTATATTTTTAGGAAACTACGACTAGACAAAGCATTTCACTTCACAGCAATGCCCAAATTGGTATGTTACCTAAAATAGATTCTTTTTCAAAATGAGAAATTATGCTTCATTGTTCATAAAGTACCCCAGTCTCCATAAAATGGAAAAAAATTATATAATTTTCAATACGGTAAGAACTGTGTCTTAAAATAGTAGAAAATACTTTCTGATTACTTTTTTTGCAAACAGAAATTTAGTCTCTGCTTTTAAATGCAGTGTGTTTCTAGATGCCATCTGTTAAGCAAATTGTTAGTATAGGAAATGAGATTTGGCATTTGCCATTTTATTCCTTTATTCAGACATCAGAGAGGTTACCAAAAGAAGCCCAAGGAATTTTAATGTCAGTTGGTGAAGATTTGAAACTTCCAGTAATAAAATATATTTTTCCAGTCTTATGACAGTTGAGACACTAGATTGAAAGAGCACCAGGTCCTAATTCTGGATCTGACATCAGCTGGCACATCATGTAACTTCTCTCATTTGAACTTATAAGCATGCGGCATGGCATCTTAAAGGCTATTTTACTTTATTATCTTTTAAATACTTTATCTATTTATCTCTCTATCAGTCTGTCTATCAGTCTATCAAGGAGGGCACAAGTGACCGAGGGGCAGAAGGGGAGAGAGAGAGAATCCCATACAGGCGTCACACTGTCAGCATGGAGCCCAAAGTGGACTCGAGCTCCCCCGAAGTGGGGCTCAAGCTCGCCTGATTTGGAGCTCTAACTCATGAACTGTGAGATCATGACCTGAGCCGAAGTCGGGTGCTTAACTGACTGAGCCACCCTGGTCCCCCTTAAAGGTTATTTTAAAAGTCTAATGGTCTCTAGAAAATGTATTATCTAAAAAAAAAAAATCCTTTAAAAGATATTCATTATCACATAGCTATCATATAGAATGAAGAAGAAAATTCAACGAGCTGAAGTTACAGAAGAATTTAAGGATCCAAATGATCGTGTAATGAAACTTATCACTTCTGATGTATTAGAGGTAAATTTGTATTTTATGCTCTTTAAATTAAAAAAAATGTTTTATTGTTGTTAACTATATATTGAAGTTACACCTTCATCTAGGGGTACTGAAATTTTTTCTAATGATTTTAACCAATCATAGAATGCTTATTGTTTCTCTAACATATGTATCATATGCAATACACTCTAAATATATGGAAATTTATGGAATAAATCTTGAAACTCAGTGAGAAACAGAAAGATAGAAGACTATACTTGGACTTGGGATGTTTAGATTCAACTACTGAAGCCACCATTTACATTTGACTTTAGATAGGTCGTAAAACAAGAATTTAAAGTAACTTTATTTTTATTTTTTAATAGTATGTATTTATTTCCTAAGTTCCTTTTTCTAATGCTTATCTTAAAAGCCATTAAAAACAATAAAGCTGTTCTGATAAAACAAAAATATAAAATCAAGAATTATGGATAAGAGGCATAGTCTTAAAGCAGCTTTACCATCTAATACATTTTGGTATTTGAGTTGTTTGGTATTAAGAAAAATCTTTCATGTGAATAAGTAGTGAGACTCACAGAATTTTACATGCGTGTAATAGCATTGCCCTGAGGTTAAAACAAAACTCATTTTTGGTTGTGGACTGATATGGTGGTAGAATGTTAATTTTTTGTCAACATACCTTCTTAAACATGCTTTTTGATTTTAAGTTCTTTTAAGAATTAAAGGTTCCTTTAATTTGTATTAAAAAAAATTGTGTATGTCAGCAAACAGGTATGGAAGATTTTGTTTTTTATCTTTTTTTAGGTTTATTTTTATTTTGAGAGAGAGAGAGAATGAGCAGGGTAAGGGCAGAGAGAGAGGAAGGGAGAGAATCCCAAGCCAGTGCCACACTCAGCATGGAGCCCACTGTGGGGCTCGATCTAATGAGCATGAGATCATGACCCAAGCCGAAATCAAGAATTGGATGCTTAACCGACTGAGCCACCCAGGTGCCCCTGGAAGATTTAGAGAACAGAGCTGGGGTGAACAAAGACATGTCCTTTTAGAGTAATTGGGGAGGAGAGTCCAAAGGAACAAGCTATGGAATGCCTATTCCTAGAAGCTACTGTGTGAAGTCATCCTGACTTTAGGTTCTTGCATTTGCCACAGACCTCCTTTAAGAGCCTTTCCCCTCAATACCTCAGTTGACTCTGTTCGTTCTGTCCTAGTGCAGTCTTTGACCTATTCTCATAATAAACCCTTACACTTAAGACTTCCCTACGTTCCTTCTCCTGCCTGCAAATGCTATTAAGTCTGCATGTCAGCAGACCTGCATTTGGGTCATGATTCTGCTAGCTTTGTGGCTCAAGAGGCATAATTAAATGAAGAGAATAGGATATTGACCCAGAACTTCTGATTTTTGTTGAATCACTGTGTTGTATACCTGAAACTAATATAACACTGTATGTTTACTATACTGGAATTAAAAAAAAAAAAAAGGATGAGGGGAAAAAGAAACTTTTGAGTTTTAATTATAACTTTGTTACTTAAATGTGACCTTAAGCCAGTCATTTCCTTTGTTTCTTCTACAGTTATAATACAGTAATGGTTATCATGTGTTGAGTGTTCAACATGTGCTAGGAACTGTTAAGATGTTTTATGTATGTAATCTCATTAATGACCATAGTAACCCTGCCAAAGGAGGTAGTATTTTCCTAATTTCAAAAGCTACGAAAGTGAGGTTCAGAGAAGTTAAGTAATTTGCATAAGTAGGGTGCAGTAGGTGCAGACACCACTGGATTTGAAAGTTCAAGCCTATAAGGCTCCAGGGTCCATGTACTTTCCTTTATTTCTTAATCCTTTAACTTTGTATGTTGCTTTACATTTTATAGAACATTCCCACTTGTATAGGCTCACTTAATATAGTTTACAGTGAGCTAGATGGCATCACTTAATTTTGTACAAATGTGGAATGTGATTCTCAGATTGAGGAATTTGCTCAAGGTCACAATCTAGCAAATGACAGAACTCAGCCCCAAAACCAGGTCCAGCTAGTGGTCTTTCCCCTGGATTGTATTGCATGTAATAAAATAATGGGAGTTCAGCACACTGCAAGCTGTACAAAGTTAGGGGCTCCCCGTATCTGGACACTGTTCTTCCTTGAAGATCCTGTCCAGCTGCTTTTGATTGCTTGAACAGATACCTGTCAGTTCCATCAAAACTTACTGGAAATGAATGGAGCAGCCTAACATAGGGATGACTCAGATGCCACAGTGGTCATCTGTGATAGGAGTGTCAGTAGTTCCCTGCTGCTCTTTGAGCCAAGTCTCAATACTGGCTTTATCTGATTTCTTAAGTCTACCTGTAATGTGCTATCTTTCCCCTCACCCCATAGACCTACCATCTGGCTGGAGGTTTCTGGGGAAGATGGTCTAAGTGATGCCTCAAATGTTGTCATAATTTGCCTTCCATTTCTTTTAATCATGGCTCTTACTAGTGAAGTAATGATGGAGCTTATGGGGACAGGCTCAGAGGCTTTGAGATTTGTGAAGGTTAGTGGATCTCTGTGGGGATCATTAATAAAGTTGCACTGTTTTAGTTATATGATTATATTATTTTCAGTGTACTGTAGCTTGTTATTCCTTATCAACTTAGTCACTTGGGAATGTCATTTTGTTCTGTGTTGGTTTTGCCTCTAAATTTCTTCTCAAAGATTGAACTAAAAGACACATCTTTTCACTTTTAGGAAATGCTGAATGTTCATGATCATTATCAGAACATGAAACATATAATTTCAGGTGATAAATCCAATCCAGACAAAGCCCTCAGCTTAATAAAGGGTGATTTTTTTGACAATATTAAGAACATAGTTTTGGAGCATCAGCAGTGGCACAAAGACAGAAAGGTACGTGACCACGTGTTTAATACCTCACCATTGTATTTGCATTATACACTAATGGCTAGACGTGAATGATAAGGTGGAGAGGCAGTTTAGTTGAATGGCTACATTCTCCTGGAGTTAAGGTTTCAAGGGCTTTACTTTTCTAGGTCTGGCTTTGCCAGTTAGCAGCTATGTGATGCTATTTAACCTGACAAACAGATTTTGTGTATAAATATAATTAAATAATTATTAATAATTCTATAATATGTATTAAATAATATACATTATATATAATATCTATATAACTATAGAGGAATAAGTAATCTTGGTGTAACAGATTTATTACAATCTTTGTAATTTAGCATTTTCTAGAGGTTGCACACTGGCGGTCTTTGGGCCAAATCCTACACACAGGTGTGGTTTTGTTTGACACAGTGTTGATCCTAAAATTGTTTTATTTTTTTATTTTTTTTTAATTTTTTAATGTTTTATTTATTTCTAGGAGAGAGAGAGAGCGTGAGCAGGGGAGGGTCAGAGAGAGAGGGAGTGACAGACTCTGGAACAGGCTCCAGGCTCTGAGCTGGCAGTCAGCACAGAGTCCGACACGGGGCTCAAACCCACGAACTGCGAGATCATGACCCAAGTGAAAGTCAGACGCTTAACCGACTGACCACCAGGCGCCCTAATCCTAAAATTGTTTTAAAATGTTGAAATAATTACTAGCACCTAAATATTTGTGGACTTCACTTAAAATTCCAGACATCCAGCGTCTCTTAAAAATCAGTGGTTTGGTAACCGTGGTCCCATTTTTATGCACGGCAGCAGACTGCTAGACCTGAGTGGTGGCTTCTTCCATGGTGAGAGGGCATGCTCTACCTGCCTTGATTTATCCCTTTACAGATCTCATCAGCACAGAGCTTCAGTTTAGTTTTCTGATCCAGATACTGATGCTGGAGCTGCCCACATCTTCATTCACCATGTCACCTAGAGTAACTTTTTACCCTGGAAATCTCATGGCTAGCCTTCTAAATTTAACTTTGAAATCACTACTCCATCTTATTTTAGTAAATACTTTTAGGAACAAATAAAAGTAAATAAAAATAAGCAATTTCTGATGGCTTACTATGTGTCTGATAATGTATTAGCGTTTTCATAAATGCTAGATAGGAATTATATTTGACATATTGTTTTTTAGAAAGAGTGGTTGCCAGTTTTTCCTTTTTATTATATAAAGGGATTTGCCTCAAAACTTCATTTTAGAAAAGATAAACAAAGTGATGAGATGACAGTCTTGGGAAGAAGGAAACAGTTTCTTTCCTCTCCCCACATTTCTTTTAATGAGAGAGCACAGTTTAGAATGTTTGAATACTTCAAGTGTCACAAATGGGTTACACAAATGACCTAGGCAATCAATGTAAAAATCTATCAGAGTACTCTCTTATTGTACTTTTTTTATACTACTTTTTTTAATAGCACCGTCTTTTAATAGACCTCTGAATACCTGAAGGAAAGGAGAATAAACCAATTTTCTTACTACTATATGAAGTGCATGTTTTCCTTCATTAGTTCAGAGGATTTAGACATTTTATTGATGATTTTTAGACCTATTCTGAAACCTAACCTTGATCTTAATTTAATGTCAGGTGGTGAACTGTGCGGTAGTAATGTGAACTGATCTTTTAGTTTTGCAGTAATTAAAAAAATAATGGATTCTCGTTACTCTGAAATGATTTACAATTGATCTTCAGTTAATTTGAATTGTAAATGTGTATATATAACTTTTGTGCTCTTCCAGAATCCATCCTTAAAACCAAAAGCTAAAGATGGAGAAGAAAGGAAAGAAGGAAATTCACAAGAATCAGAGGTCAGAAAAATTCACTATATGATTGTCTGTGGGGCAATAGTTAGGTTATCTTCTTTTTGTTTTATGTGTGGCTGTGATTCTGTATCAAGTATTATGACCCTTGGTCAGTATTACAATCATTATCTCAGACAGTTCTGAAACATCGGCTCTATGAAGAGTTAGGCTTTTCGTTCCCAGAAACCTTGTGAAATCCCACAACAAGGGTACATTGGGAGTGAGGATGTTGAGAGTTTTTGCAGGGAAAGGGGAGTATGATGGTAGAAGGTGCTGTCAGTCCTTACAAAGGCAGAGTAGGGTTTTTGAAATACGTCTTTTCTTACTTCCTGTCTGACTTTCAGCCAGTGTGGAACTCTAGCTACTATTTATTGCTTCCTGCCTCCAGAGTTTTCATCCATCTTTGTGGATGAGACAAGGAGCCATTTTGGGGCTTCAGCAGAAGAGGAGGCAGATAAGGAGGCAGCGGCCTGATCACCAAGGCTTTCACTCTTACTGTCTTCCTTAAATCCTAAATTACAATAGTCCGTAGCTTTGGAGTTGGTATTGTGGACCTGCTATGAGGATGTAGTGTGTATTCATGTTTCTGATCACAAATACCTGGTATTCATACTTTCCTTTAATGTTTATGTGTTTTAACTTTTTCCCCTTCCTGTTTATTTTTTATCCAGAGATGTGAAAGGGCAGAATCCTTAGCAAGAATAAAATCAAAGGCCTTTTCAGTTGTTGCTCAGGTAAGTTCTTTCTTTTTTTCTTTTTTTTTTTTTTTTAATATTTTTAATGTTTATTTTTGAGAGAGAGAGAGAGAGACAGGGTATGAGCAGGGAAAAGGCAGAGAGAAAGGGAGACACAAAATCTGAAGCAGGCTCCAGGCTCCGAGCTGCCAGCACAGATCCCAAGGCGTGGGTTGAACTCATGAACTGTGAGATCATGACCTGAGCCGAAGTCAGACACTTAACCGACTGAGTCCTCCAGACGCCCTAAAGTTTGTTTGGTAAGGTAATTTTGGAATTGACTTGATATGTTTTAATTGCATTTTTATTTTTCATCAAAGTGATACATGTATGTAATTTGAAAAGTCAAATACTACTGCAGAGCTCACATAACCCCGCAGTTCTCTGGCTCCATCACTTCCACTCTGCATTCCTAAGCCATCTTTTACTTTTTCTCCTGTAGTTCTCTCTCTGGTGTTTACTTAGAATTTCTTTTTTTTTTTTTTTTTTTTTAATGTTTTTAATTTATTTCTAGGAGAGAGACAGACAGACAGCGTGAGCAGGGGAGGGTCAGAGAGAGAGGGAGTCACAGACTGAAACAGGCTCCAGGCTCTGAGCTGGCAGTCAGCACAGAGCCCGACGCAGGGCACGAACCCATGAACCGCGAGATCATGACCTAAGCGAAAGTCGGACGCTTAACTGACTAAGCCACCCAGGCGCCCCTACTTAGAATTTCAATGCTCTTGTTTTTTATTTTCTTCCAGCTCTTAGTACTACTGATCATGGGAGGTTTTTGGACTTTCTGTCCCTGGAGTTTTGAAATTTCATAATAATGTAACTTGGTGGGATTTTTTTCCATCGCTGCCCTTGGCTCTCAGGGCAGGCATCCTTTTGATCTGATAGCCTTCAGTTCTGAAGAGTTTTGTATATTGTTTCTTTGATCGTATTTTTGTTGCATTCTTGCTTCTTCTCTTTAATTTTTGTTTTCTGTTTTCAGTCCCTGTTTTCAGGGAGATTGCCTAAACTTTGTCTTCTGAACCATTATATTCAATTTTTAATTTCTGCTGTCTTTTTTATTGCTAAGATTTTTTTTCTTCTTCTCTGATTCCTTTCTTAAAAAATTTTTTTTTCTGGATGCAGTATCTTTATCTTTTATCTCCTTGAGGATGTTAATTTCAGTGTTTTAAGTCTCCTCCTCCCCCCTAGAGTTCTTATTTTTGATTCTTTTGATCTCTTTCATTTTAGTGGCTTTTTTCATATGTTTGAAGAGCTTTAGATCATAGTTAAGAGTGGTCATGTAGAGCTACAGCTTTTAACCTCAGTGTTTCTTTTTCTTGGATGTGGTCATTTTTACCAGAGAGCAAACTTCCATTCCCTTGTCTGGGGGAGGAAAAGGTAAATAAGCCCAGCTGCCAATGTTTTGGGGAGCCTACAGAGAGAGTCCCTCAAGAAGCTTACTGTTCCTTATGCAGATTTCACCTAACACTTGCGTTTGCAGTGAGAGACTGTCCCTTTCTTCTGTTATATCATTCCTCAAGCCTGCAGCTTAGCCTCTCCAGAGAGCAAGGCTCCTGTTTCCTGCAGGAAGTCAGTTGTTGAGTTTTCAGGTTGGGAAATGGAACACGATTACTTTTGTAGATTTTCAGCCTATCTGACATTTTTGTTGTCCCATTTCTGATGACTCTAAGTCCTGATCCACTTGGATCAGCTTGTTTTAATAGTAACTTCCTCAATATAGGCAATTAGATTTCAGATTTCTTCATTCACTTAAGTAGCTGTCACTCATTATTTTCTGTTACCTCTTTTTTGTGAGTTTATTCATATTTAGTTTCTTACTCTCATTTCAGTGGCATTTTAGGAGTTAGCACTGATAAATGTATGTGCTTAATCCCATATTTTTTCCTAGATCTTTTTTATGAATCCAAGAATGTCTTCATTCTGTGGGAAATTACTATCATTTTCTAGTTGTAGAAATGAAAAGGAATAAACAAAAAGATTAAAAGTGAATGTAGATTTATTAAGTTTTACATATTTGCTGTCCCACAGTAAACTGAGTACAAAATACTGTTGAATGAAGGACAATTCAAATTGTTTTAAACCAGAACTGTTAGTGCTAATTGATATTTAATATGTATCTTTAGACATTATGAAATACCTTTTAAAAGTTACTAAAGAATTAAATTGTAATTCCCATAAAGTGTTAATAGAGTGTGCCATAGCATAGCCACAAGTTTTTCTTTATTGAGGTACAATTAACATATAATGCATGGTAGTCTTTAAACAATTGTTAATACCTGCACTGTGTTATGTGGCATTAACTGAAAACTCCTGTAAGGACTCTGCTTAAGCAAGTAAGGGAATTCATTGACTGATGAAACTAAAATGTCCTTTCACTGTCCCTCCACTTCTTACCTGGGTTGCTTTCACTGTCTTCAGGTGTTGTCCCTGACAGCCAGCTTTGCCATGGTCCCAGCTTTAGGTTCAATAGAACGGGAGAATTTTCCTTTCTAATAGTTAACCAGAATTCTAAAATTGAGTTATGCCGGCTATGATAGAGATCACATGCCCAAAATCAGGGGCCATGGGAATGTGAAATTTGACTAGAGAAATTTGACTAGATCAGCGGCACATACCTGGAGCCAGGCATAAAGTAGTTCCACTCAAAACACATGGTGGTAACTAGGGAACATAAATGTTACTAGAAGAAAGGAAAAATAGGTTACTAGACAGTGGAAAACAGCACTCATCCTTTATACCTGTTTCCCAGCCATGCAACTACAACTACATTTTAACCCAACAACTACATTTTGTACCCAGTTTGAGTAGTTGGTGATGACAGCTGCAGAGACCCTTTCCTATCGTAAAGATAGAAGAGTATGTGTGTGTGTGTGTGTGTGTGTGTGTATATATATATATATATATGCGCAGATATATGCAGATATATGCAACAAGTATTATGCAAGCCAGCATTATGGTAAAGTACTTTATGATTTTTATTTTTCCTTATTTTTGATTGTATATTTTTCTTGCCGTAAATTATCAGCCAGTTGGATTCATTTTGTGTTTCATTGTGGTTAATTGGATTTCTCAATCTTAAGGCATCCAAGTCAAGAAGGCACCGTCAAGTCAAACTTGACTCTTCTGACTCTGATTCTGCATCTGGTCAAGGACAGATCAAAGCAACTAGGAAAAAAAGAAACAAAGAAACACTGAAATCAGCAGGAAGGAAAATGTCTTCCAAAAACAGAGGTAACTTTTTAAAGTCTTTTTGAGACTCAGCAGGGATAATGGGTCTTATTTACAACTTCCCGTTATCATTTTTTTCAAGTTATATTCCTATTTTATTTTCACTTTTTAATAGTATATTTATTATGTCAAAAAAATTTTTAAGTTTACTTGTTTATTTTGAGAGAGAGGATCCTAAGCAGCCTCTGCACTGTCAGCACAGAGCCCGACGCAGGGCTGAAACTCACAAACTGTGAGATCATGATGTAAGCTAAAATCAAGAGTTGGACATTTAACCAGCTGAGTTACTCAGGTGCCCCTATGTTACTCTTTTAAAATATGTATATAATGTGATAATTGTGACCTTAGATAATTTTGCAGAATAAATACATCCAATGAAAATTGGACAAATTTACAAAGATAAACATGAGGATTAGATACTTGTTTGAGAACGTTGTGAGATTTAATAAAAATAAATAAATTAGTTATCTTAGATTCTTAGACTCTTACTGCTGAAAGGGGACCCTAGAAGTCATCAAATTCATCATCTCATAGATGATGGGATTCAGGTTCATATAGATTAAATAACTTGTCCAAAAGTGATGTAGCTATATAGTTATAGAATCAGTCTAGAATTATTCAGAGCATACTTTATTAGTAATTTATGTGTGTGCAATAATGCATTCTATAAAATTTCTCTTTAGCTACATTAGTTAAGGTGTATCTTTTCTATTAAAATAACGTGTCTATAAAATTAACGTTTGTATGTAATTCCTAAAGAAATGACATTTTAATAGTTTAGTTTTTAAAAAATTACATAAGTAATATATATTCACCATACATAAAGTTTGAATCTTATTAGCAGACTCAGGAGAAAAAAGAAAGCATTAGAAGCATTAGTAAATATTCAATGTCTAATATAAAACACTCCCAGCTACTAGAGCAGTATATGAAGATACGTTACAGCCTTTTAGCATTGTTTTCCTTCCTATATTGAGGCAGTGGAAGGAGAATTGAAGCTAAGTTCCTTTAACATAGTCCGGATAAGATTAAGGTCAGCAATAGTTGCTTGAAGTACGCTGAACATTCAGAGGAGGAGATACTGTATTTGTTAAGGGTAATCAAGAAATATTTCAAAAGCAGATTTTTAAAGTTCTTTTTTACAAGGCTAGCAGATACTAGGAAGAGAACTGTTAGACCAATCTCACTTGTAAGTATTACTGATAAAAAAAAATCCTGTTACATGTATCAAAAGAATCCTAGATACAAAACAGCTTGACTGGGGTACCTAGGTGGTTCAGTGGATTAAGTGTCCAAACTGTTGATTTTGGATCAGGTCATGATCTCATAGTTCTAGAGAATCGAGCCCACATTGGGCTGTCCGTGGACAATCTGCTTGGGACTCTCTCTCTCCCTCTGTCTCTTCACCTCCCCTGCCTTGCACATGCGCTCTCTCTCTCTCTTAAAATAAACATTAAAAAAAAGAAAAAAAAACCCACAAAAACTTGACTGGGTACACTCGTTCCTGGATGCAGAGATGGTGCAATTAGTAACCTATCAGTAAAATTTGCTATACAAATAGGCTAAAGGGGAAAATGTAAATTCATTTTTAATAGTTACCCAGAAAGACATTTGATAAAATCTAGCATCCATTCTTTTTTTTTTTTTTTAATTTTTTAATGTTTTTTTATTTCTGAGAGAGAGAGAGAGACAGCATGAGCAGGGGAGGGTCAGAGAGAGAGGGAGACACAGAATCTGAAACAGCCTCCAGGCTCTGAGCTGGCTGTCAGCACAGAGCCCGACATGGGGCTTGAACCCACAAACCGCGAGATGACCTGAGCCAAAGTCAGACGCTTAACCAACTGAGCCACCCATGTGCCCCTAGCATCCATTCTTGATGAAAAAAAGAATCCTCTAGATTAGGGGGTCAGCCAAACTATTGTAAAAGGCCAGAGGGTAAATATTTTAGGCTTCATGGGCTGTATGATTTCTGTCACAACTACTCAGTTCTGCCATTGTAAGGTGAAAGTACAGACAATATATAAATAAATGAGTGTGTTACAAAAACAGGTGGTATGCCAGATTTACCCTGGGCCCATAGTTTGTCAACCCTTGCTCCAGATAAAAGAAGTAGATGGTTGTTTCTTTAACTCAGTTTTAAATAGTGTATGTGAGTATTTGACAAAAGGCGACTTCATGCTTGTTAGTAATATATAGAAGTATCACAATTGTATTTAATATTGATTTTGAAGGGCTAGGTCTATCAGTGTAATTAGGCAGGAGAGTGAAGTAAGATATGATTTTATAAAGGTTATAAAAGTATCATGACTTATAAATGACTGATTTTATGTCTAAAAGTATCTTAAAGAGAATTCACTGAAAAGAAAATAGTAACAAAAAATTTAGTAAGTTAAGGGATATCACTATAGACCTTACAGAAATTAAGAAGATGATAAGGAAAAATTAGGAATACCTTTTTTAAAAAAATATTTATTTTATTTTGATAGAGAATGTATGAGTGGGAAAGGGGCAGAGCCTGATGTGGGGCTAGGTCCCACGAACCACGAGATCATGACCTGAGCTACAATCAAGACAACTTACTGAGTCACCCAGGTGCCCCTTAATACTTTTCTGCCAGTAACTTAGATTGCTTAGATAAAATGGATATATATTTTTTAAAAAGCATTTCCAAAACCAATACAAGAAGAAATAGAGAATCTGAGTAGTTCTATTTTATAAGAAAAATTAAATTCCCAGAAAGCTTTATTGGGAATTCTAGCAAACACTTAAGAAAGGAATACCATTAATCCTGTTCTTTCCAAAATCAGAAGAAAAAACACTTACCAGCTTATTGATATTGTAAGAAAAGACAAGTAAAGACCAGTATCCCTCATGAACGTAAATGTAAGAACCCTTACAAAATGTTAGCAAGTTGAATCCAACAGTATATTAAAAGGACAAGATAGTAGAACAAACTAAAGTTTATCCCAGGAAAATGAGGCTAGTCTATTGAGAAAATAAACCAACATAATTCACCATATTAGCAGAATAAAGGAGAATGACTATGTAATCATCTTAGTGTATATAGACAAAATATTTGATGAAATCCAGCATCTACTCATGATAAAAGCTCTGAGAAAATTAGGGTTAGAAGGGAACCTCCTGAACCTGATAAAGGACTTCTGTGAAAAACTACAACTAACATCGTACTTAATGGTGAGACCATACTTTTCCCCTAAAATTGGAAATGAGGCAGGGATGACCACTCATTGCTCCCCGTATACATCATATTGGAGGTCCTAGCCAGTGAAGGCAAGAAAAGGAAGTAATAGACATTTAGATTAGAAAGGAAGAAATAACACAAATTTGTCTTTTTGCAAATGAAATTATATTTTACACAGAAAATCTCAAAAATTCTATACACTAGCTACCAGAACTAAGTGAGTTTAGCAAGGTCACATCTTACAGGGTTAGTATTTCTCTGTGCTAACAATGTAATCATTAGTAATTGAAAAAAATGTTAAGTATAATAACACCCAAAACACAAAATACTGTGGTATGTAGGTAATAACATATGTTCAGGTTCTAGATGCCGAAAACTAGAAATCAATGAAAGAAATCAAAGAAAAATTAAGCAAATGGAGGGATAATATGGACTTCACGGATTAGAAGACCCAATATGTTAAGAATCAACTAATCCCAAATTGTTCTGTAGATTAAATGTAATCCCAACAGAGTTACTTTTTTATAATTAATCTTATTCTTAAGAATGTAGGGAAATGCAGAGAAACTAGAGGAGCCAAACCAGTTTTGAGAAGTAACTGTAAAGCTTCAGAAATCAAGACAGTATGCCATCTGCAAAAAGACAGACATACAGGGCAATGGAAAAGAATAGATAGCCTAGAAATAGATCGATACTTAGGTGCACAGTTTATTTTTGACAAAAGTGCAGAGACAATTCAATGGAAAAAAAAAGATAGTCTTCAATAGATGGCACTGATACAATTTTATATCCAAAATATCTGAAAAACAGACCCTCAACTCATACCTCTCATCATTTACAAAAATTAATTTAAAATGATCACAGACCTAAATATAAAACCTAAAATTATGAAACTTGTAGTAAAAAAAAAACCCTATAGAAAATGTGGTCTTAGATTGGGCAAAGACTTTTTATATATGACATAATAAACATAAGCATAAAAGAAAAAAATTGATAAATTGGACTTGCCTCAAATTAAAATTCTTTGGAAGACACTGTTAAAAAGAAAAGACTAGGAGAAAATACTTGCAAAATACAAACCTGATGGAGGTCTTGTATCCAAATATGTAAGGAACTGTGAAAACTTAATAATAAATAACCTAATTAAAAAATGGGCAAAAGATTTGAACAGACACTTCAAAAAGAACATATAGATGGCAAATAAACATATCAAAAGATGTTTAACATCTTTAGTTATTACGAAATGCAAATTAAAAACATCGTGACATTCTACTTTTCCCTGTTGGAATGGCTACAAAAAACAAAAACAAAATTGGCAATACCAAAAGCTGATAAGGACACAGAACAATTTGAACCTTTGTACATTTCTTTTGGGAATCCAGAAATGGTGTATAGTCACTTTAGAAGACTGGCAATTTCTAATAAAGTTAAACACACACTTACCATATGACTCAGCAGTTCTACTCTTTGGCATTTACCCAAGAAAAATGAAAAAGTATATATTCACATAAAAATTTGCATGTAAAAGTTCATAGTGTTTCCATTCATAATTGTGAAACATTGTAAATAGCCTAAATATCTTCAACTGGTCATTGGATAAACTAATCATGGAGTAAGCATCCAGTGGATACTACACAGGAGTAAAGAAACTACCGATATATGTAATAGCATGGGTGACTCGTATGCATTGTGCTAATACAGTGCTAAATATATGAAGGAAGACAGACCCAAAAAGCATGTAAGACATTATGGAAAAGCAGCTCTGTAGGGACAGAAAACAGATTATTGGCTGCTAGGAACT